TGTGTGTGTACATACACACATTAAAATCTATTAATAATACTAACTTTAAACTAAAATATGTTTGTAGGATTTGATGCAGTCAATTATGTGACGATATGCTTCGTCATCCTCAATGTTTGGCTGAAGAAAGAATAATCCGAGCCTTGTATGCGTTCTACGTTGTAATTATTTAATAAAATTATTATATTACCGTTTTTATAAAAAGAGATCTCGATGCAGTTTATTCGTGACGGCAACTTACCGTAAGCATTCATGCACAGATGTGTTGAATGCAAAGTGTATACATTGTGTCGAGAGCTATCGATACATGAAGTATATAAAAAAAGCTCATAAATCCATGAAGCATCATTATATTGAAATATTTGTCTATATCAAGAACATGTTCGAGTCGATATAGAAACCTAATGTCATATTTGTTCGTCGAGAAAAATCTTGTACATCCCTAATGACTAGTGTCAAAGTGTAGAACACAAGCGTAGAAAACAACTGGAATGTTAAAAAAATGAAGTTTATTTAACAAAAAAGAATGGAGTTTATTTAACATGTACATATGTATGTATGTACAATAAAAGGGTAAGCTAGTATTTAGAATAGAAAATTATAAATATTCCAATTTATGTACTTTCGAAGATATTTCAAAGAAAAAGAAGAAGAAAAAAATTTTGGGCAATACTAATAACAATGTAATAAAACCAGGGAATAAAAAGATAATATCAATGTTTCATATCTTATTAGATATGCTTTATGCAGTAATATAATTATCCAAAAGAAAAAAATGAATAAATTGTATTTTACAATAAGGATAATTTACTCGCGTATCGTATGGCGAAGATTTCGCTTTTTTCTGCGTGATGCTATAATATCTCTTTCTCCGGGCCCGTATGTTTTATCTTTCACGTTTCTTCAACATCCTTCAGAAGCTCTCTAATTTGCACAGCTCAAAAAAATTATTCGATATATAATCACATTACGATCCGATTAATTTATACAGCACAACGTAAGAATACAAACTTTGTTATTAGTTAACACACAATTCATGAGCTTCAGTATCATGAAACAATCCATTAATAAAGGCGAAGCGTTTTCCATGATGATGTTCAGATCCGTTATCCCAGCTACTAAGCCCCAAGTTTGTTACAAATGAGAAATGTATCATCAAAAATGTACATCAATTCTAATGTACCCTTTCTTTATATTTCTTCAAACATTTCCTCAAAGGCTATCAAACTGAGAATAAACAAAAATGCTGCAGCAAACAGCATGTTATCCTCCAGTCGCGATTGAAATGGCCACTAGCCGATTATGATCATAAATTTTTGTTGAGATAATAGTAGAGATTGCCAAAGAAAGATATATTGTAGTTCTGAGAAATTAAAATATTATGGTTCGAAATCATTAGATATCTTGTCGAATATTCACAATTGCCGCAGAATTTATTCCTTGATATAAACTAAATAGTATTTCTAAATAGTATTAAATATTTCCATATTTCCTAGAAAATATTTTCAAAAAGAAAAATATATAGCG